GTTCTTGTGCTGAAAGAGGGAGTAACAGACAGGAGAAAGGGTTATACACACCTATATAGCACACCTATTGGATGGGAAATTGCCTTGGGGAGATAAGGTGTGGTCTTTGTTCCCAACTGAAGTTATGGAACTTTATTATTGTGAGTTTAACAAAGTATGACAAATGGCATCAGTAACAGATGTGATATGAATTTCTATAAAGTTGTCTCACATTCTTGGTCATATTTTATATACAGTATGTAATGAGTATAACATGTCCAGTAAGTATAAAGTGTTTCCTAATACTGTGTATTCAACCACTATGGAATATGTATGTGGGCAGACAAAACTGAGTTGTTCTGTGTGTGAAGTAACCTCAAGTCACTCCGCAGGCACATTTTGATGCAGACCAGTTTGTCAAGACAAAAAAGGGCAAGACTAGGCTGAGAGCAGAGGCTATACCCACCATCTTCGTGCATCGCCCTGTGGTCAAAAAGAGAAGGGCCCCTGCACCACGATTCACCCCGGGACCTGTATCTACAAAGCCCATAGCTCATGATCACAGCTATAGTGTGAAAGGTGACACAGGTATAATAAGTATGAACTCTTAGTAACAAAAGTCATATTTCTTATTTTTAAGTGGTATAATATTTTAAATGTTCGAAAATGTACAGTGCCATGTCTTCTACTTACATTAGTCTCAAAGATTGAGGGAAGAAGGGATGAGGAGAATGAGAGAAAGGAAAGTGAGGGTGAAGAAAGAGAGGACATGGCTAGTGAGGAGAGACAGGGAGGGTGGACACTCAGCCAGCAGCCAGTCAGCATACGAGGGAACCAGCAGCCAGTCAGCATACGAGGGAACCAGCAGCCAGTCAAACACATCTATTAAAAAAATTAAAGAGAAAATTAAAGAGCCAAGAAGGAATCACCAAAAAAGCAAAGTCTGCACTAAGAAAAATCAGGAAGGAAAATGCAGCTCTCAAGAAAACAATGAAAATTAGGGACAACAAATATAAGAAAACGTTTTCAAAAGACCAACTTAAGGCATTAGGCAGACTCACCACAAAGGGGATGAAATGGAGCAATGAGACAATTAAGAAGGCTTTAAAAATTTGCTTTGCGTGCGGACCAACGGGTTACAAAACTCTGCAGGAATTGCAGATTCCCCTTCCAGGAATAAGGACACTGCAAAGAAGGATGCAATGTGTTAAGTTTGAGCCTGGTGTGTAACAGCTAACATCACTGCCCCTCCACCCGTAACATCACTGCCCCTCCACCTGCCAACATCACTGCCCTCCACCTGCCAGCACCCAGCCAGAGGAGCGCAAACAACAAAAACAAGCAAGGTGTCCCGTCATGTACCTGGAAGTTTGGGTTGGCAAAATGGAGTAAGAGAGGGACTTGAAAAACCTTGGTGGCTATCTACTCATGTTGTTACAGTTGTCTTGGTTACAGCTCTCAAGTTTTTTTTTTTGCCATTTCCACATCTTTAGAAAATATGAAATAAATGAAAGTGAAATCAACCTCTTCTCTGGAGAACAAACTTTGATTTCTCTGTCTTGTGAGTTTGCAGTCTTGCAGTTTTGCTCCTCCACCTGTAACATCACTGCCCCTCCACCTGCCATACAGTAGGTTACTAACAAGATTACTTATATAATACAGTGATAGAATACATGTTTAGTATGCTTACTTATATAAAACAGTAGTATTAAACTTACCTTGTGTTTTCACTCTCACTTAAGTCCCTCTCCCTTTGCCATCAATCCAAAATCAGCTGAGCTGCAACATTATACAGACAGGTAATAATCAACATAATCACAAGGACACAATATGGCTCTGCTAAAAACACTCACTCTTACACGCACCAAAGTTATATTTATCTAATATTTAACTCCCTCCACCCCCGCATACAATCCCGTTTAGAAGCCCCTCTTCTCTAATTCAACAACGTTGGACGAAATGAAATTAAGAGAACGGAATTTACAATTAAAAGGCTGTTCAACGTGTGTTGCTAACTTGATCCGGTATCCTAGCTTTATCTGTTATCTGTAAACGTTCCCTAAATCTACTAATTTAGGGATAATCCACTGACATCCTTTAATACACATGTTAATTTGAATCAGATGTACTGATAATATCCGCCATATAAATCTTTAAACTTCTTCTTACCTTTAAAAGTCCGTCACGAACGGTCTATTATGCTGCAACTCTACAGCTCTGCTAGCCTTGGCGCTAACTTCCGGGGAACGATTGAGAGGCTCCACGATCCGCCATTGCTGTAAAAAAAAGTGGTCCATTGGAGTGAACGGAGATGACGTAACTCTCAGTCTATACGGCGCTGGGTTTGTCAAGCGAAGCGAAGAGAATACTTACCTCCGGTTGTAAAATTCTCTAAAGCAAATGAGCTGCTCCGACCCCCGGTCCTGACGGACTCCAACTTGTGTTTATTAATCAAACAAATAAATACACACAAGGATACTTATGTATTGTTGAGTAAATAACAGTGTGTGGTTTAGAAAATAATACAAAATTAGAAGGAAAAAACGATGAAACAATACAGATTTCAGTATTCTGAGCCCCTACTCTCCCCATAAATAACGGCAACAAAAGTCCTACATTATTCAATTAAAATAAAGAAGTAAAAACAATAAGTGTGGCTTGATATTGAGTAAGAAAAAGGTTGATAAACGCTGTGAGAATGGATCTGCGGAGAGCATTTCGCCGCGATCCCAACTCCTCTATTATCAACGTTCAGGGAGCTCTATGCAAGTCAATGGGACGCCCTGCCCATTGAAAACTGACTCTCAAGGGGTACCCTGTGCGTAATATAGTGACGGGAGGGGCCCTGACCGACCGTCAACATGTGACGGGTTGGGAGTGAGAACGTATTGCCTTTAATGGCACTTTACATAAACCTGTACTACTGTTTCTTTGTATATATTTGTATTTATACAGTACATTTTCTTGTTCACTTACTTGTCAATCAATGAGATATAACATTTTAAAATTAGCAACAACATTTTAAATGTAATGCATGCGGAGGGTATACAAATTGATCAAATATATACATGCATGCAGTATTAAATGCATACAAGTATATATGGATAAACTGCAGACAAATGCATATTATTGCCGAGGTTTTTATTTCCAATCAGGCTGTATTTTATTGCTGCTAATGCTCCTTATAAAAATATGTTCTTTTCAACAATTGTATTTATAATGAACGATATTTACCATTCACTGGAATACTGTCATTGAATACATAAAGCTACCTTATATTACAATTCTTTATTTTCATCTGTGGATTATATGTATTTTTAGCTATGAAGTTTTATGAAGCTTACGTTGCCTTTTCTCCACTTTCTTAGTTTTGATTGTTGACTGGAAAAAAACATGTTTTAACCATACTACAGTAATCTATTTTGAAAGATGTTTTACTTTATGTTTTTGTCCATGTCATTGCTCTATTAAAGTGTATTATTTTGTCTTACATATAGGTCGAATAAGCTTTTTTATTGTATGATTAGTATCTCCCCAATCTGAAGAAATCTGATGAAAGATTATGAATTATATTTACATTTCTTGGAGTTTTTGAAAAAAAATGGTTTACATGAGAGGTTAACCCCTGTGCTCTGTGATTTAAAGCTATAAAACATAAATAAAACATTCATTTTACTAAAAGTCTTTGCTTGTTCTGAGATTTATTTTTGTATTACTGAGATTCCAAACAGCACATTCTTTATCATGCATATGTGAGTCTGGATTCAAGTAGTAATAATCAAAAGAACGGCAAGTCTTTCCTTGTGTGTACATAGCATATCCGCCACCTCTGTACAAGGGTGTGTGCTTTATTCTCACACATGGACCATGGTACATCCACTCAGGTGTTTCCACTTACGGCTGATTAGACCCTTTAATAAAAAAATGGATGTTACACAAGAACACATGTACAGACAGAAACACAGATTGAGAAACGCCCTGTGTATTTTCCATGTTAATACTAGAGTATTTTTTTTCACAGAGCACAACATATGATCCGTTGCTGCACCTGTTAGGGTGGCACAACTTATACGATTGTATAATAACTTTACGCACACGGGTAGGGTTGGTAATTACTTAAAAAATACATTTTGTTACAATTCCTTATACCTGTTAAAATGTCATAAGTAGTATTGCAGCATTAAAGTAGCCTGATTACTTTACATTGCTTATATTATTATTGTACCTCACTATCAATATGTAAATATATAAGAGAAACTAAATAACAATAAGAGGGATTTTACTCTAGTGTACTATGTAAGATAACAGAACAATGGGACCTTAGAAAAGAAGAAACCAAGATATTAAGGATAAAAAATGTGTCACCTGGTCAGTGTTTTTTAAGAAACCTGCCTTTCAAAAAGCTTATTCATTCAATATATAGACTATAGAATGAATATGCTTATTGAGTATGTGGTCTTTGTTGTATGCAGTATGTGGTCTTTGTTGTTGGTCTATACCAGTGGTCACCAACCTTTTTTAGCCCAAGATCACCGACCTCGGCCTAGGAGGGGTCGGCAACCCGCGGCCTAAGCCCTCCGCTCTGGCTCCCTTGAGCTTAGACAAAAATAAGAAGGAAATAAAATAAAAGTATTTTTAGGACTATTTATATTTTGTTGCATGGTTGAAAATGTTTCGTATCTTGTATTTTGAGGTGATACTGTGACACATAAATAAAAAACAAAACGGTTTTAATTAGGTCAACTAAAATATGCGTCACATCCTGCTACGGTCCCGCGCGAGCGCCTTTTCCTGCGGGTGAATAACTGACCCCCGGCTCGATGAGGGAACTATGGATAAATCAAAGAAAAGTACCGGAGGAACACAGGATTTAATTCTGTGTGGACAGAGTTATATGCTTTCACAGCAAACGATGCTGGTTTACCGGTATGTTTGATATGTAGAGAGAAGTTGTCAAAGGTGCTGCAGCCTTTACGTATCGAGGAACAACAAGGGAGAGGAAGACAGCTGACAATCTTCAGTCATAATTCAATGGGGTATGTAATTTATTTCAGAAAACACTTTTTGTTATATTCCATGGAATGCTCTTAACATCTCGATAGCAATGAATATATTAAATGCTTTGACAATAACATACAAAAATGTATCTCTGGAAGCCGTAGCGCTGTAAAAAGCACGACCAATCATTTTCGCCGGCCCGGCTAAAATAACTGGATGGCCTTCCTGCCTGTCAGCCTTCCATCTGTGCACAAACTTATCTCGTGGCCTCATTGATGATGCGCGTTCGTGTGTGTTGGAGGAGGGACTCTGTAAGAAAGTCTGAAGGAAGAGGCATATTTTTTCCGGTTGTGTATTTTCAAATTCTAGCGCACTCGAGCTGGTTTCTCCATTCTTACCTACCCTACCTTTAACTCTTTTTAGGGTGCAGCTAT